AGAAAGAAAGAAAGAAAGAAAGAAAGAAAGAAAGAAAGAAAGAAAGAAAGAAAGAAAGAAAGAAAGAAAGAAAGAAAGAAAGAAAGAGAGACCCTGTCACCAAAAGGGGCTCAGCTGGTAAAGCTACTTAACCATGCCAACTTGGCAGCTTTAGTTCAATCCCTGAATCTCAGCTAGGACTAACAAAATTTAAAACGTATCTTATCCTCTACTGCAAATTTAATGCTTACAATTTCTGTATCTTTATATATTTGTTAACTATCACAGTTTTACGAACCCACTCATAATAGTAATGCTGTTTCCCCCAACATTTTAGTTGTCAAGATCAAATGTGTATTTTTGATATCTAGCAGACCCTCCTAAACACACACAGTTCAATCTCCAAAGGGACCCCGGGTCCTGAAAGTTCCTGAGAAGCCAGAGGAATGAACACTCAAGAGCGCAGTCACAGCTCTCCGCTCTGCCTCACACCACGCCTGTGTGGTGGACGAGGAGCAGACTTAATAGTTCTGGGTTTGTTTTGCCTCTCAAGGACCAGAAAGTGGCTCTCAAAGCATGGCCAGGACACCCCTGAGAGGTGCTTAAGCATTTATTTTCAGGGAATCCACTGGGTAAATTATCTTCCTCCTACTTAGAATACCGTTGTCTTTCAGCCTTGTTCTCTCGTGAGAGGACAGTGGGGCTGTCCAGACGCAGCACGACACAGACACAATCACCTGAGGAGGGGCACTAAGAGAGTCCTCCCCTTTCACGTCCTGTGGCAGCAGGAGGCAAATACAAATAACATTTTATTTTTAATTTTATGTGCATTGTTTTGTTTGCTTGCGTTTAATTTTATGTGCATTGGTGTTTGGGCTGCATGTATGTCTGTGTGGGGGTGTCAGGTCCCCTGGAACCTGACACTTCTGACACTTACAGACACTTGTGAGCTGCCATGTGGGTGCTGGGCATTGAACCCAGGTCCTCTGGAAGAGCAGCCAGTGCTCTTAACTGTTGAGCCATCTCTCCAGCCCCCACAAATAATATTTTTCACTCAACATTTTATGAAGTTTTTTTATTTGATACAAGGTCTTCATTTTTAATCACTTCACAGCTGCCTGATACACTAAGCAAAAACAACGCATTTATAATTCTCTCTAGTAAGACACTGGTTATCCCCATTATTGAATGTAATCTCGTATTTTTTTCCTAAAAATGAATTTCTGTTCATCATCACTTGTTATTCTGATCCTTGATAGTAACAATTACTATTCTATTTCTTTTTCACATCCCTCCTACCTCAGACATCTAGCCTCATTAAAACAGCATTTAAAATAACAAAATAATTTAGCAATAGATTCTCACTGCTACAATTTCTAACTTCGTTTCCTGTAAGTACTCTGTATTTTCTGTTGCTCAATATGTAAATATTTCTCACCCACTGGCTTTATAACTTAAGAAATGGTTGATATTTAGTCTCAAAATGGCATTTTTATGAGCTGTTGGACAAAAACATTACAACTGTATTTATTTATTATTATCATGTGTGCAAAGAGGAAAGAGCTATGGAATCAGTTCTCGCCTTCCACCTCTTACCTGGATCCTGGGGATTAAACTCAGGCCGCCGGGCTAAGGCGGTAAGTGTTTTACCGGCTGAGACATGTCGATGGCCCCCAAAACATTTTTAAACTGACTGCAAAGTAGCTTTTATAACTATGTAGAGTTGGAGGTATATTTTATTTGCCAAGAGCAAACACACATCAACTTAAGTTGAGGAACCAATGCTAAAAGGCAGCCTTCCGTCACCACTGGACTCTGAA